AAGAGGTTATATATGTAAGTGTCGATGGGATTTATACAGCAACCTCTGCTTGCTTTGATTGGATACACTTGCCTCAACTGCAAAGTCCAGGCGGGAAAAAAAACTACCCACAGGACAATAACATTATCAAAACGCAACAATATGCGTTAGTTTCAAGCTCTTTTATTTCTCGTTTTGGCCTCAATGTGATACGATGACCTTTCGGGAACTTTCGCTGGCTTATCAGGAATGGTTGGTATCATTTCCTTTTCCAGCAGGAACATTGTCGACGGATTTGCTTCCTACAGCTGCAAACATGAAATAGGAATGTTTTAAAATTAATCCGCAACCCAATTAGCCTGCTAATAATAGAATGTAGTTCAAAAGTGTAACAATGTTCCGTGTTAACGAGCACACGTTTCGCCACACCTATCCACCCAATTCCATTTTTGTCTACTAGCCACCATTAATGCTACTTCATTCCATATCATTAGGCGATGAAGATGAAACCAAACCTGCTTGTTCTCCTCAAAAGCTGCTCGAGAGAACTGATTAATCTTAATCTCCTCGAAATACCGAAGTTAGCTTTTGCGAGAATGAGAATGAGAACCAAGTCTTTGAAAAAATAATTGACTAAACATTTGATCTTTGAATGTCTCAATCTCTGTCTCATTTAACTCTCGTTATCCGTGGTCTTGTAACGATATTGTCCGGGGAACTGATAAGTTAGTTTCGTCCTCCAAACTTGGCTCCGCGTTTTAGAGTGGAATGCAGTCTTCAAGTCGTAGTTAACCAATGGATTTTTAAAGTATTAATCACACAACATACATCTTTCGCAAAATAGAGATTTCCTATGTTTTACTACTCAAATATGTGTGATTTATTTCGAATAACTAGGGTATATTTTCAAGTTTGAATCAATTACTTGTTTAGAAATCTTAAAGTTTTCATCGAATTGTGATATATGATACAAAATGAATCATCACATGTGTATAATTATATGCGATTATATGGCAGACCATTTTTATGACAGCTTCACCCACCTTAAGCGCGATCAGAATTTGCCTCTTTTAATTTAGACTGTTTTATTATTCTGATATTCCGACTCTATCTTCCGAAGAATCAGCCCGCAGTGTATCCCTATTTCCCTCCCTTTCACTGAAAAGAGTTCCCATGTTTTGTACAGTTCATTAGCCATTTCCAATCATCATCGCCGCTGGAAATTTAAATTTTCTAACAGCATTCTGTATTGTGTGAGTCATGATAGACATTTGAGTGGAAGTAAAATCGGCGATTGGCATAGTCTCATCATGACACTCATCTCAAAAAGCATTAGTTTCTTTGTTTTCCGTGAAATTGATCTCAAGCGCCAAAGCCGCCTGAGCTTCGTTAGTGGGAGGACAGGTGGTCAGTGTATTGATGTATATCTTACCTCTTTGAGATGTAACAGCAAACGAAGCACATTCTGAATTGTCTCTTATAAATTCCAGGCTTAGCTATAAGAAAATTGAAGTAAGAATGAAAATTTTAAAAAAAAATTTTCAAATTTAAAAGCAACCCCCGATTTGGTCTCTAAATCGCTGTACGTTTTTCTCTGCGCCCGTAGTGGTTAGGGGTTTCTTGTTAATGGTTGTCTTGGCTGCGGATAGTTTTGGGTGAAGTATCGTTGAAATTCAAAGAGTAGGAACTCTTCGAAAATCGCCATCTAAATATCCTAGAATTCTGGCTGGTAAACCATACCATGTTTAACAGCAGTGTGACCTTGCAGACCAAAGGTATTGAATGTGGCTGATGATACAAGCCTTAGTCGCAAAATAACGAAAGGGAAAATCTCGGAATTGTTCCTATATTTTGATCAATATTAGGGAGACATTCCTTCCGTGATCTTGCTCTTGTCATAAATTAAGGGTAGCAAAATGACTTTAAAATTTTGCATTATCCTCAGGCTATAGTAATGGAGAACATTGAGAGTTTTTGTGCCGTGATTGGAGACTTCATACAGTGACCAAGAGTGTCTCGGTCAGTAGTGACTGTGCGACTACTACGACACGAATCCCTCTCACTCCTTTACAGATAGATCAAATAGAAGTATTTTACCTTCTCATTTACGTTGAAAACAAAATTACTCGGTTAAGATCCTCGAGAAATTTATTTTATGGCCTAATCTTGAGTGAACCGTGCCCTTGTTTATTAACTTCCACCAGAAATAGGGAAAAAAGCAAGATTCGAATGCGACTAACGCACGAGAAGCTTTTTTGAGGTGCTTTTCGAAAGAGCGACATTTCTAGCTACTGATGAAAGATTAAGGTGTTTGCGTTCTTCGTAATGTGTCTTTGTTATCTGTGTGCATAAAACACATCTATTTGCCTTTTCCCAGCGGCCTTTGTCGTATGGTTTCCTTCTCTTTCTTCGTTATTCGTTTAGCATGATTTATTCAACAGAATTTAATGGCTATTAGATGGTAAGGAAATGAAAGTGATTTTTCTAAGCACTCTCAAATTTTTTGACTGCCTGTTAAAATTTTCATTGAATTCATCGGGACTCTATATTTTTTTTCCTTGTCGTTACGAAAGACAATCGTGGTAAATTTTCTCCAAATCTGTGCTCTGAAGTAGAGTTTTGGATTTTGAAATGGTTTTTATTTTTTAACTCTTCAGTGTAGATTGTGAGTTTTAAATTAATATTATTTCATAGCTGAAATAATGAAACTATGTTGGATGGATCCCAACCGCTGTAGTATTCGCTCAATCTTGTTGTTTTTTCTTGTTTTTACATGAAACCAAACGAACTTTTCGCGGCTAGCATTTATTCTCTCATCGATAAAATTGCTTCGCTCGAGAAATTTTTTTGTTTTTTCTTGTATTGGGAACAAGCTGAAAAACTTGTCCATTGTTGTCGCATTTCGAGGAATACTCAAACAGGAATTTTGCTCGAAAAGTAAATTAATCTTATTTTTTTCTCTTTGTGAGTTGAATCGTTTTGTCGTACGAGTTCTTAACTTTCTTACCGTTGGACGCCGCATCGTTCCATCCAGTGAAACTAAGAAATAACAGAAGAAGAACGAGATACTCAGACTTCATGTTTTTTCGTAGCTGTTGGTTTTAATTACACTGCGCCTTGATCGGTCAGTGTAACGATTATCTTAATATATTGTGCGAATTGTTTTAGCATTTTATTACGAAAACGGGCGTACATAATTGTTTCACAGCTTTTCAGCCATTATTGATCATAGCTGCTTTTGCATGAAAAGTTTTAATTTCCGTTCAACTTCCTTTCTAACATTATTCTGGTTCAATGAAATGATTGCAAGCGCGAATGAAAAAAACTATCAACGCCTTTGGCTTGGAACTTTAATTGTTTTCGAGTTACTGAGGACTTTTCAGGTTGGTGTATTTACTGTATATCCTTTTCCTATTGTTTGACGGAAATGACTTGGGAATATTCGTAAGTGCTTTTTGTAAGGATTGTAAGGCGCTGAAATACCCGCATCTTCATAGGAAGACGTGAGGCTTCCCATCTTAATCACTTTCATTTTCGCGCTCATTAGTACCTTCTTTTACTCTCCATAGAGAACCTTTTTGGTCTTCAGACTCGCAGGTCTAAAATTTTAAACGCTACGGAGTAATTTTCAGAATAAGGCATGTCTGTCTGATCCGTCACATTTTATTCTCGCTAAGATCATCGTCCAGAGCGCATGCGAAACAAGAGCTGTGGGGGATTTAACAAAGGCGAATTTTTCTGGTCCGCATTTCGCGCTCATTCTTATACAATAATTCCGCGCATCCTCAGTTGACCGAAACGCAACAGACAAAAATGGAAATAGCAGTTTAGACAGACTGTTTGATTTTAATTCTTTTAATTTCGTTTCCTCCAAAGCTGTCTCACAGTTCATGATCCGTTTCTCTGGTTTGCAAGGGATGAGTGATAATCGTTGAAAACGAAAGAAAAAGACTTGTAAATGGTTGAACGTTAAGATAAGTAAGGTGAAAGTGCCTCGTCCGGTTTGTTCGTGTGGCTTGGTCTTACTAAATCGTTCGCTTTTTAAAAAGTTGAAATATAAAGTGTCGTGGACTGGTTAGGAAATTTGCGGATAGATAGCCGATTATTGTGTTGTGGTTTAGCTGTTGTCGAGCAAAAATATATCCTCTTCGATTAAACTGAACATCTTATCAGGAGCGTTGCTTCCTGTGAGAAATTTTAGGAAGGCTTTAAGCCGAAACTAGAAAATCATTTTTTGTTCTAAAAGAGTCCTCTTCTGAAGAAATTTGGTGGTCTATTGATCATCTAAAACAAGACTTCCTTAAATTACCGACCCCGTAATGTTAAGTTCTTTTACAGATTCCTCGAAATTATAGTCTAGGATGATGCCCGCTTCATTGCTACACGAACAAAAAACTATATTTGCACTCTTCGTTGTGCCCAACATCTATGTTATTACATGAACTTGAAATGAAATGATAACACTTGATGACTGGAATAACCAGAGGGGATAGCGGAGCTAAGCAACAACCAAAATTTTAGCCAGCTTTAAATTTCATTAAATTCTAGTTTTAGCACATTTTGGCTACCTTTTTTTTAGAAATGAATCTTTGGATTCTTGATTTGTTGCGAATGTTTACATTGCCCTTTATTCGATTCTATTTTCTTATCCGGTGCGGCCCAGCCGTTTCGGTTGCATCGCCTCTGACAGCCTTCTTGTAGACTTGTCTTCATTATACACCGTTTGTTTTGCTTTGTCACCAGTGGAGCTGAATACCTCGCACTTAAGCTAACTATATTGAGTTGTCGGACCGATGCTATTCTATTTGGATTATCTTCTCTCAGTCGGTAGGTTATTTCTTATTTCCGCCTGGTTTCCTATATGTTAGGTACTCTATCGGCGGTTTCTAGTCGGAGAGTCGATCAACTCTTTTATCATAGTCGTGCGAAAAGCTCGACTATCCATTATGCAGATTGTTTGAAATCATTTAGAAGCACTTTCTTTTCGAAAAATTAAAAATTGCCAGTTAAACTCAATGTGTTGTGGATGAAGAGGTTTAATGTTTTAGACAAGCCTCCTTGCTAAGACTTGGCGGATACCTTCACTAAATACTTTTATTTCTACCGCCATTGCGCCTGTAAAATGAAAGTGCAGATTTATTTTCTTTCGATCACCTTTTAACTCAGAGACTCGCGTACTTTTCTGAGGCCATCTTTCTGAGTGCTGTGGTCTCCTGAGCCTATGACAGCGAGATTACAAACTGTTTATATTCTCTTGATAATAGAGATAAAGAGGAAGCCTAACCTGCTGACCAGCAAAGTACCTTGTTTTTAAAAGTAAATTATTAGTTGAAACAATAAATTGTGGTCAAACACACGAACCAAAGCCTCGAATCAAAGTAGAGGAAAAAATGATTCCTAGTCTACAAATTATTTTTTGGCGGTCATCAAGCAATGCGAGAGTACATTTAAATAGGAAACTTCTACGTGGTTTTGTTCGTCCCATTCCCCGTTTTTTCCTTCACCGTGGGTTTTTTGTTGGATGAGTTCTCCGGGTGCATCAACCAGAATAAGTTTCTTTCAGTAACAAAGTAATTAAAGGGTGCCCATCAGGTAGCTCATATGCACATGTTATGTACATGTTTTTTTAATTCTTTCTCCGGCTGATCCTTGAAAGAGAGGATCAGCCGCAGGAAAATCTCCAGAAGTCCTGGTAATGTTCTAATAGACGAGAATTGACCTTATTTTCTGCTCTTCCTGTTTTCGTTCTCAGCCGTGAGAAGTGCCTTAACCAAAGGCAAGTACTTAACTTTCGGTTTTTCGTTTCGTATTTCGGTTTTCTTCCCCTTCTCAGAAAGTTTGAACGTTACTGTTTGTAAGCGATACGAATTTTTCAGTGTTTTTAACTGCCATAATCCGCGAAAATTTGGACAAACGACCTTGGATTAAGAATGGTTAACGCTTTACCATTCATTTATCAATCTGACAGAGTGGCATTACAGGCGAGTAACGTGTCAGCAGCTGAATATCAAAAACGTAAAAAATTATCATATTTTTACGCGTGTGCTGTTACGGCTTTTTTCGGGGCTGGAAATTCTTATAAATCACCTTAGTTTATATGATAATGGTTCTTATTTTATTAAGAGATTAATTGCAGTACACATCTTATGGTATAAAAATACTTGTGTAAAAGATACCAAAGTGAAAAGCGAAAATGCACCATGAGTAATCTGCTTAAATGCGTAGGCCTTATACAGTTAAACTTAAAAACTAAGTACCCTCTAATATTAAGCCACTTAAAACCAAGGTACTAATCTTAGTCAATCAACTAGTATTTTTCCTGGGGTTATTGCTGGGTAATTTAAAAGCTTAATTGTGGCACATTTGTTTTCAGGGGATGAGAAATAGAATGGGAAGCTACTATGTACAGTTACATGCTTAGAGGTAAATTTTCCTTTAGAGAAACTCGACAAAGTACAAAGCCTCAAGGATGGACTCAGATGCATCTTAAAATATGGTATGACAAAGTACTATGTTAAGAAAGACTCGTATATTTGGAGCTTAAGTTCGTTAACAAAAAAAAAGAAAAATGAAAAATGAAAAATGAAAAAAGTAGTGCAGACTGAATAAACCAATCATTACATGTTCTCTCCGTGTGGTATCGAATAAATAAATAAATAAATAAATAACAAAATAGATAAATATGAAAAATATATTATGACAACAGTTCCCATCTTTTCCTAAAGTCTTGAAGTTTCTTATTTCTTGAGGTAATGAGCCTTTCAGTCTCCCGCTTAGCTTCTACTTTGTGTAGAATATATAGTTTACTCAGAATTATCAGATAGTTTAATATATCTTTTTTATTTAAAATGCCAACTATAACATCTTGGAGAAATAAGCTCAGATTTTCACTCAGAAGATTCGACCACTAATTGCAAAAGCTCTTCCAAAAGGCGCGCACATAGGAGCAGTCATGAAGGAGATGGTATAAGTCTTCTTTGTAAATTGCTCAAAAGGAAAACTTCTCTGACTAAATTTACCCAATTTTTAATCATTTGATATTTGTAAACAGAATGTTATTCAATAATTTATGTTGAAAACACCAGATACAAGTTTCACGAGCTACGTTGAGTGTGTCAACACTCCTTGCAACGTGTTTGAAAGCTCCAAATCAGCTCATAGAGTAAGGAACCTTTTCGGATGTTAAGCTTTGTTGGTAATCAGCAGTGAACAAAAACTCTTTTGACTTAGCTGAGTAGGTTTTGAACTCTGTATTATTGTATTTAAAAATCATATAGTCAAAGACGAAACCTTAGGCACAGACAACCGCAAGGAGGACTATGTCAAAAAATTCCCCTTTTGTCTCGGCAAAAAAGTGATTATGGACTATGTCAAAAAATGAGATTCGAGCACTTTATTCTTAAGGCATTCAGGAGAGCGTACATAATCCAAATTAAATAATAGATCGTTTATAAATAAGCAATTCCACAATCTGCATATTTTTTATATAAAATAGGTTTGTTACCGTTTCTTAAGTCTTTATTATTCCAAATTACATAATGGACATAATTGATATCAGAAAAAGCATTTCTAAAATCCGCCCACCAAATAAGTAACTCCTGATAAAAACCGTTTAAATATAAATTAAGATCCTTTACATCATAATTACATTTCAAGAGCAAGGTCCCTCCTTTTTTTTCAAATAAAATGCAAAATACGATTTCCATGAACCAACGCGCTCATCAAGAGCCTGTGGAATCCAGGACAGCCTCAAGGCTTTAATTTGGGTTTCAAGATCCGTAAGATTCAAGCCACCGTTCTGAAGCGAGTTAATAACAGAGAGTCTTGTCGCTTTATCTGGTCCTTGCTACAAAAAGTTAAATATCATCCTCTCCATCTGTTTCATAGTTTCTTCTAGAGTTTCCAATATTATAGAAACATATAACAGCTTTGGTACAAGGAACGTTTTTATGACAGTCACTTTGCCAAACGAGGATAAACCCTCAAACTCCATACGTTGATCGTCTCTTGGATTTCACTCAATTTTTCATGAAAGTCGTGTTTTATGATTTGTCCTTGATCACACGAGAAGTGAGGTCCTGATGTTTTTACTCCGGTGCACCACTCAGGGCCCAGTGGTCTCTCT